ATTTTGAGAGTCTTCATGTTTTTTATCTAATATTGAATGATATTCATTCTGTGTTTATGGATTGTTTTTTAAGTTAGCTTGAGAGTTTGATGTAGAATAAGAAAAGTTGGTTTGCTGGGCAACTACTGGCTGTACCTGATATTGTTGGTGATAATTATCTTCCGCTTCTTTAAGTGCCTCTCCCATCGGAGATAGGATATCATTATGGCGATTCTAATTTTATTAACTGCTGTTTTAAATAATTCGTTAGTAGTACAGCCAAACCACTCTGTTAAATTCCTCATCCAGGACATTTTTCTACGGCCTGAATTTCTGCGTCCTTGGATCTTTCCTCGCATTATATTTTGTAGGAACGTGTACTTTTGTCCTCTCATCAGGTGGCCTAAGTATTTAAGTTTTTTTTTTTTTATATTCATAATAACTTCTGGATCGTTATTTATTCTGCGTATTGCCTCTTCATTTATAATTCTACCCACCCAACTTATTCTTAATATACGGCGGTAGCACTACATCTCAAAGCTTTCAAGATTTTTAGTATTCCTCTGTTTAAGAGTCTATGCCTCAACACCGTAAAGCAAAGTACTGAATACATAGCATTTTAACATTCTAGTTCGTAGATGAATACTAATATCACGATTACAAAATATTTTTTTTTCATTTTTATAAAGGTAGACCTGGCAATTTCAATACGTCTTTTTATCTCGTGATTTTGGTCACCTGTTTCATTAATGAGGGTTCCCAAGTATTTGTATTCGCTTACTTCTTCAAGTTGGGTACCGTTTATTGTGATACTGGTGTCATGAATTGGATTCTTATTGAAGGTCTTATATGTGGTTTTTTTGACGTTCATCCTTATGCCGTAGTTATTACATATCTCATTCAGACTTTCAACTAAATGTTGTAGATCTTCCACTGTTCTTGCTATTATCACAGTATCGTCAGCATATCGAATGTTATTGATAACTTCTCCATTGACTATTATCTCTTCGTTTGCGTGTGAGAGAGCTTCTTGGCATATTTGTTCGCTGTAGATATTAAACAAAAGCGGTGACAACCCTGTCGTTCTTCTTCTTCTTCTAGTTCCTATCCGTTTCGGATGTTGGAAATCATATTGGCAACCATAACCTTGCTCGCTGCGGCTCGAAACAGCTCCGTTGAGGTTTTCTTAAACCATGTTCTTAAATTCCGCAGCCATGATGTTCTCCTTCTACCGGGTTGTCGCTTACCTTTGACTTTACCTTGCAATATAGACTGTAGCAGGGAGTAACGGTGCTGATTTCTCATAACGTGTCCCAGATATTGCAATTTTATGCGTTTGATCGTAAACACAATCTCTGGTTCATTCTTCATTTTTCCTAGAACTTCCTTGTTCGTGATCCTTGCTGTCCCTGATATTCTCAGCATTCTTCTATAAAGCCACACCTCAAATGCTTCAAGTTTTTTAATAGTGGCGTCTGTAAGCGTCCATGCCTTCGCCCCGTACAACAACACAGAGAAAACATAGCATCTCAAATGTCTCATTTTTGTATCAAGTACCCTGTCGTACTTAAATAATTAATCGATAAATATCAAAAGGTATCATTTGGTTGACTGTTGGTTAATTTGAGCACAATGATGGATCTTGAGTATTTATTTAACTTGCTTGGTAATACGGACGTATTAGATTTGTAGGATCGTTCTGATTGAAAACTGCACTGTAGGGTACTGAAAATTATTGCTGGTCCGTTCCCTGTAGAAAATATTTTCTCTTCACTTATTTCACATTAACTGGATAAATAAAAGTTTATGTATTTACCAATAACATTGGGGAACATATTATTTGTTGAGTTAGATCTGCCACTTGTTTTTCACTAATTTGTGTCCTCTGAATCTAAAAATAATCTCAGATCTTGTCTATCACTTCAACTTTTTAAAGTACAGGGTATCCTCAAAAATCATGCATATAAAATAATATAAAATAAACGTACCAAATCTACAGTTTATAAAACATTTAGTGCAAGTTAAATCGAGTTCGTATAAATAAAATTGTTTAATTAGTGAAGAGCACTTACAAATTAAGACAAGAATTTGCGTGTATCGCTTTTTCTGGAGTTTTCACTTTGTGTACATTCGCGCTTGATGCTCCAACAATAGTCAGCCGTCATATGTAAGTCCCATCTATCTTGATATCGTGCTTCCATGACCTTCAAATCTTGGTGGAAACGCTCACCCTGCTCATCACTCACCGCACCAAGATTGTCCGGAAAATTAGCAAGGTGGCTATGTAAAAAATGCACTTTAATGCTCATGTTGCACCCTAGCTTTTGGAAGCTATCCAAGAATTGCTGGACAATGTTGGCGTAATTAAATGCTCGTGTATTTCAAAGAAAGTTTTTAACAATGTTTTTGAATTCCAACTACGCATTTTTTTTCAATTTCTGACATTGTTACCACGAAATGTTCATCTGTAAGAAGCTTCCGAATCTGTGGACCATCAAAAGCACCGGCCTTTATCTTTTCAAACGACAGTCTAGGAAATTTCGATACGAGATATTTGAAACAGTCTTCTTTAGTTGGCAAAGCTTTAACAAATTGCTGCATGAGACCTAATTTTCTAAATTTTTCTAAATATAATATTCTTCTGCTGAGAAGTGGCTGATGTACAATGTTTGGATCACCAGGTCTCAGGTCCCATCTTGGCGGCCAATTCGACTTCACCATGTTGTGCACGAGCTCTGCTGTCCCACATACACAGAAACAGGGATACTTTGTGTATCCACTTTGTTGACCAAGTAAAAGCAGACTATTTTAAGGTCAACACAAATGATCCATTGGTGCATGTGATATTGAACAGATCAATTACTTTCTTTATGTCGTCATATTTTTTACGCAAACAAACTGAATGGCCAATTGGAACTGAACCAAATAAATGTCCATTGTAGAGGAGAACACACTTTAAGCTCCGCTTTAAGTTATCTATAAACAGTCGCCAGTCAGTTGCGTTATAGTTTGAAATTCTTTCCAGTTCCCACCAATTCCAGCCAATTCTTTTATTAAACCACTTACAGTATGGCAAAACAGAAATCCACCATCACTTTGAAAGTATTGCAGAAATGCCCTTTCTCGTGTTCACAAATAAAATAACTTGGCTCCCTTTTCAAGCAAGTTTTTCTCATTGAGTCGTGATGATGAGAGCTCTGAAGCTTCTTTGGATAGTCCCAAATTTCGTACCAAATCATTTAGCTCTTGCTGCTCGAATCCCTTACGTACGGGGTCATCTTCAATTTCGAAATTTTCATCGTTGGAGTCGCTTTCATCTACACCATATCCGTATTCCCTTTCTTCCAAAGAGGGAAATTCATTGAAAACTGGCACGAAGATTTCGACAGAATGCGGCACTGGGCGTATAGCTGACGGTAAACTAGGATACTTTATCTTTTATTTGTTTTTCTTGTTATATCCTGATGTTTTCACTATACAAAAGTAACAATCACTTGAATGGTCTTTCGGCTCTCGCCAAATCATAGGTATACCAAATAGAAGTTTAGCACGTGTTCCCTTGATCCACATCCGTAAACCCTCAACACACTATTTACACACTTTATGAGGTGCCCATGGCTTATCTTGATCACCAAGTTTTACTTTAAAATAGGCAAAATATGCCTTTAATTGGGAATGGTAAAACTCCCACATATATAACAAAACGAATCGGGCCTATTTTCGCACTTACGACGTGTAGGAGCAGAGGTAGCCATAAGGAAACGTTTCAGTTCAAACACACTAAGTAGGTCACTTAAGTAAGTTCACTAAGTAGTTTTCCACACTTAAATAACGAAATACTAGATGCTGCTAACCAACACACAACGTTTCAGCACAGTATAACAGACGTAACTGAAGTGAACACGTGAAAAGTCAAGTCTAGACCAGTTGCAGTTATTAGCAGATTATTAGCGCGTCATTCCCCCACCAACAGGCGCCCCACCCACATAGAAAACAAACGTGACGTGATAGAAGAAAAGTAAAAACAGTTTTGAAATCAGCACGCCTAATTCTATAGAAAACAGCTAAAAAATCTAACTCAACAGAAATTGAGTTTCAAATTGTTCCTCAGTGTAATAAATTTAAATTTACCAAATTTCGAGAAGATTAATAATTAGCACAATTACCATTATCCTCAGAAAACCACAAAAAATTAATATTTTTCGAGGGGAATCTCAAAATACACATTAAGTTTGACAGTTATTTTGACAATTATAAAATAAATATAATTCATTACATTGCCAAGACCACACTATTCTCGTCTTTTTTATTTGCGCCTAAAGTTCGATTCACACACATCAGTCACGTCACAGTCACGGTACCGAACCGGTCCTGTTTGGTCACAGAACTATCAACTATCTGACAGCTGGCAAACTGTTCGTCAACTGATGAGTGTAAATGCCGGCGCCATATTTGTATAAAATAATATTTTGTATGACGGATTGTTCGATTCGGCGCAATCACTGTGACGAGATGGTGACGAGACGTGACTGATGTGTCTGAATCGACCTTAACTGTTACTCGGTAGTTTAAGCCGTGTTCACATATATTTTCCTTGTTACAGTTTTCATTTTGTTTTAATGTTGAGTGTTATTGTTTTTAGTTTATTAGTAAATACTTACCACCACAATTTATAAACTTTGTAATTTTCTTCTATTTTTGCACTTTGTATAATTGTATATGTCTTTAAATAAGAGTAAAATAAGCTATCATTTAAAACCGTATATTTGTTTGACTTCGACAGAGCTTCAAATATTGGGAGAATTTGCTATTCATTTTCTCAGCAGAGCGGACTGTTTAAGTCAAAAGCTTTTATGCCTAATCCAAAATAGGCGCAAATTCGTGAAATATACTATACTTCAATCACAAACATTTGCTAAAAACTTGCGGAAATGTGTATTCATACTTTGACAGTTATTTTGACACTACTTATTTTACATAGTATATCATATATAAAATTATATATTTTGGTTATTTTATAGGTATGGCACATTTGAATTTGACACATTTTATCTGGATTGGATTATTAATTTATTCTAGGTAAGTTTTCTATTATTCATAAACCTATTATTTCATTATTTGTCCCATTTATCATACTCCACATATTGTATACAATAATATTTTTTAAATCAACAATTTCTTCTTTTCATTCATATATTTTATGTTTAGTTATCTATGTTCTATACTATGGTTTTCGTATATCGTACACATTTTGTACGATAATTGCATAAACACTAAAACGTCATTAATTACACTTCATCTATTTTACATACCGATGCACTATATCGGCGTCATAGCCCGTGACGTCACATGATACCAACAAGAAATATTTAGGCGGTAAGTATGTTCTTGTTTAGAAACACTTTGCCGAGTACACTGGTATGACAGCCACTAGACATATTTTATTATATACGCGTAGAAATAATATTTAAAAATTTCTATTAAAGTTAAGTTAAAGAAATACACAATAATATGTTTAATTTAATTTGTATAAATACAATATAAAGCGTTTTTATTAAGAACATTTGTTCAGAACACACTGTAACTGTAATCGAACTAAGGTGAAATTTTGGCATAAATTGGTAACACTTATTTGACAAAAATTCCAAAACTGGGAAGGCAAATGGACCGGATGAGGTTCCTACCTAATTGCTAAAGCTCTTGAATGATGAATCAATAGGTATAATATTGCACTTATTTAATACAATATACAAAACTGACATTATACCTCAAGAGTGGCTGTTGTCTACATTCGTTACACTGCCAAAGAAATCTAATGCTAAAGAATGTTCAGAACATCGAACAATATCTTTAATGAGCCACCTACTAAAGATATTTCTAAAAATTATCCACAACCGAGTTTATCAAATGTTGGAGTCAGATATTAGTAATACACAGATGGGGTTCAGAAAAGGGCTTGGTGCTCGAGAAGCTCTCTTCGGTTTGAATGATCTCACACAAAGATGCCTAGACGTTAATCAAGAGGTACATACGTGTTTTATCGATTTTGAAAAAGCGTTTGACAGAGCTCGCCATGATAAGCTTATAGAGATTCTTGAAAGGAAGGACATAGATATTAAAGATCTGTGAATAATTCTCAATCTATATTGGAATCAGAAAGCTAACATCAAAATAGAAACTGAAACATCACAAGCAATAGAAATACGTAGAGGAGTACGACAGGGTTGCATTTTGTCACCTCTGTCATTTAATGTATATAGTGAAAGCATCTGTCAGGAAGCCCTTCAAGCAAACGGAGGAATCGTAATTAATGGAGAGATTGTAAATAATATTCGATACGCGGACGACACTGTACTAGTTGCAAGAACAGTAGAAGAATTACAAAGATTACTTACAGACATAAATATTGTTTGCAATAATTATGGTATAAATATCAATATTAAAAAAACCAAGTATATGGTCTTCAGTAAAAACATGACACAACCAGCGTATATTAGTATAAACGGCACTCAATTTGAAAAAGTATCAAGTTACAAATACTTGGGAACTTTAATAAACGAAACTGGAGACCAAAACAGTGAAATAAAAAGACGTATCGAAATTGCCAGGGCCACCTTCATAAAGATGAGAAAATTCTTCTGCAACAGAAATATAAGCATCCCTCTACGATTAAGAATGCTGAGAGGCTATGCATTTAACACGCTATTATACGGTGTAGAGGCCTGGACTCTGAAACAGAACAACATGAAAAATATTGAAAGTTTCGAGATGTGGTGCTACAGCCGAATCCTGAAGATTAGTTGGGTTGAAAGAATAACAAACTGTGAAGTAATACGAAGAATAGGAAAAGACCCAGAGATTTTGTTAACGCTAAAGCGAAGAAAACTCGAATATTTTGGTCACCTGATGAAAGGACATAAATACGCATTACTTCAAAATATAATGCAGGGAAAAATAGAAGGAAAACGGAATCCAGGCCGTAGAAGAATGTCATGGTTGCGGAATTTGAGAGAGTGGTTTGGCTGCACCACTGATGAACTCTTTAGGTCACCCGTAAACAAGGTCAGAATAGCCTTGATGATTTCCAATCTCCGATAGGAGTGGCACAAAAAGAAGAGAAGATTTGACAGTTGCGGTGTTGATACTTTTTGTACTTTATTATTTTGAATTTTAAAGTGAATACCTCTTGCTTTATATTTTTACCAATTTAATAAAATCTGTTCTTTTTAGAACAAAATTAGTGTGTTTTATTTCAAAAATGTCACGTAAGAATTTAAATAGTCGTTGTAAAGAGATGGTAATACTTTTGCAATAATTATGTGATATATTTGATTTAAAATGAAGTCAGGATTTTTTATACTTTGGCAACTATGTCAACTTCGATCTCTGACGTAGATAATGACGTGCATCGGTACGTAAATTAGATGAAGTATACATTAAGGTAATGGTTTATAGTTATTCATACTTTTCAGTGACGTATTGTTAAAAAGTTTTCTTATATCTAAATAATCTTATATATTATTTTTTCATTAAATTGTAAGTATATTTTTAAACTTCAAAATTTTCAAAGCAATTATTATTTAAAAGTGTTTTAAATGCCAAAAAAATATTTTTCTGCTGTTAAAAAATAAATAAAAATCAAAGAAGCTTCTTATACTACACTTCATCTAATTTATATAACGATGCACGTCATCGGCGTCATAGCTTGTGACGTCACACGATACCAACAAAATATTTAGGGTGTAGGTGTGTTCTTTTTTAGAATCACTTTACCGAGTACACCGACATTACAGCCACTAGACATATTTTATTATATACGCGTAGAAATCATATTTTAAAATTTCTATTAATGTTAACTTGAAGAAATACACAATAATATGTTTCATTTAATTTGTATAAATGCATTATAAAGCGTTTTTATCAAGAACATTTGTTCGGAACACACTGTAACTGTAATCGAACGAAGGTAAAATTTTGGCATAAATTGGTAACACTTATTTGACAGTTGCGGTGTTGACACTTTTTGTACTTCAATATTTTGAATTTTAGAGTGAATGAATATCTTTTGTTTTATATTTTTAACTATCTAATAAAATCTGTTTTTTTAGAACAAAATTAGTGTGTTTTATTTCAAAAATGTCACGTAAGAATTTAAATAGTCGTTGTAAAGAGATGGTAATGCTTTTGCAATAATTATGTAATCTATTTGATTTAAAATGGAGTCAGGATTTTTTATACTTTGGCAACTATGTCAACTTCGATCTCTGACGTAGATAATGACGTAAGTCGTTATCTAAATTAGATGAAGTATACGTTAAATGAAGCCTACTTCGTCATAAATTCCTCGGCAGCATGCACTAGTATGTGGTAACCATAAATAAAAGAGAAAATTAATAGAAAAAAAAAATACCACTAATGCACTGAGTCAATAACATATCGAGGATGCATCATTTTTGATGAATTTTGATAAATTTTGATATTAATATTGAGAGCAAACAAATATAAGTACACATACTTACCACATCGGGATAGCAGCATGAGGTTCTTTTTCCGGTTTTTTGCTTATATCTTCCATACTGTAGGACTGTGGGATCACTAACAGGAGAATTTTACTTTCATCCATGCATGAAGTTGTCTTTTTAAAGAAAAATTATATGATTTATCTGACGGGTATTCTTAAGTAAAAGTTGATATCATGTAATCGAACAAACTATTAGTTTTCCAATAAAGTGATCCCAGAAAGAAAAAGACTATCGTGACTAAGGAAGAACCCATAATGGACAGGGTTAAATTTTGATCAGCTGAAGACAGAGAAATTGAAATTGTAGTAGCCAACGTCCATTGAGGAGAGGGCACTTTAAGTAGAATGCTTCAGGAACGTTTGAGGAAATTTAAAATGTATAATACAGTTGACTCCATGGTTCTTTACGTGTACGTCATCAATACCTGACGGGGTAAAATTTATACTTTATATCTAGAATCATTGTATTCCGTGCATGAAACTAAAGACAAACCAGCTACCGCCTGTTATTAAATAAAGACACATGTTATTTTTATAAATGCTTTAGGCTCAGTACATCGAAACGAGAAAGGTACAAGAAAGACGCTTGGGGACGTTTTTAGATTTTATGTACAGTTCGTGACGTTTCTGATTTGTTTATTGTTAAATCGTAGGCTTCCACGGCCAGAGTCAGAATTATAGTTTATTCGTCTTCCGGTTTCGGACCGTGTCATTTGTGAGTGACCTAAAAGTGGGTTCATCTCGACGTTTCGCTACAATTGTATGTAGCTTTTTCAGGAGAACAAAGAAAAATAAAAAGAAGAAGAAATCAAAAGACAGGAATTTCTTTTTCTCTTGTTCTCCTGAAGAAGCTACATACAATTGTAGCGAAACGTCGAGATGAACCCACTTTTGGGTCACTCACAAATGACACGGTCCAAACCCGGAAGACGAATAAACTATAATTGTTTATTGTTGTTGTCAGTTTGTTGTATTTTTTTGTTGTTTATAGTTTATTTAGTAACTTATATTACAGAAATACGAATGTTTTTACAACGAATTTTATATTAGATTTTAAAATTTTATGGTAAGTGTATTTTATTTTGCCATTAATTTATATACAAATTTATATACAAAGTTAACTTTATTAACACAGTTAAGGAATGGTTTTGTTTAAGTTTTCGCAAAAATAAGAGAAATGGCAAAAAATATGTTATTAAATTTTTTTTTAGATTATGCATTGAAAAACTCTTATTTGGCAAACACAAGAACTCGTTTTAATTTTAATCAAATACTTTAAATTAAAAAAAAGGACCGGGGGCACAGTTTCAAAATGTTCAATATTATGATGCTTGATTGATGACATATTATTAAAAACATTTATTTGCCTTCCAGATTTAGCCATACGGCTCACACTCCCTCTAAGGGGAAAATTCGCTCATCCCAGATACCTACAGTATCAAAAGGCTTTGGTGGGACTCTTTCCATGTTATCGAGTCCTAGGTGACTTGGTACGTCGGTGTATCCCCCAAAAATTTTCGCACACATCTGGACGTCGAAAGTAGCACAGCTTTATGTT